GAAATAGTGAACAGTGGTGGCTGAGAAGGTCTCTGCTTGGTCCTGACACCAACAAGCTGCTGACATGAATGGAGCAGCTCCAGAGGGATGATACGATAGGCTCAGGGAGACATCGTTATCTGGATTTACGCCACCCAAGTGTGGGCATTTAAAATCTCTTCTCTGCAGGCGCTGGACTCCCTCTATTCAGTATGAATATCTCACTAGGTTTTCACCTGGGCACCTCAGCTGGATGCCTAAAGCTGGGGCCAGTGAAGCATGAAAAAGAAAATGATCAGGGGGATGGAACGCCTCTCCTATGAAGAAAGGCTGAGAGAGTTGGGGTTGTTCAGCCTGGAGAAGAGAAGGCTTCGGGGAGACCTTATTGTGGCCTTTCAGTACTTTTTAGCAGGGCCTGTTGTGACAGGACAAGGGGGAATGGTTTTAAGCTAAAAGAAGTTGGATTTAGACTAGATATAAGGAAGAAATTTTTTATGATGAGGGTGGTGAAACACTGGCACAGGTTGCCCAGGGAGGTGGTAGATGCCCCATCCTTGGGAACATTCAAGGTCAGGTTGGACGGGGCTCTGAGCAACCTGATCTAGTTGAAGATGTCCCTGCCCATGGCAGGGGGGGTGGACTAGGTGACCTTTAAAGGTCCCTTCCAACCCAAACTATTCTATGATTCTATGATTCTGATAAAAATGGAAAAGAATGGAAAAAACATGACCTTTCTCTAGAGTCTGGAAGAATCTGCAGACTAAGCTGTACCACAGTATAAACTAGGCGTGCATAATGTCTGCCCCAGTGCTGCCAAAACAGCAATTAAGATCTCAGCATCAATACAGTCTCTTTCCAGTTTTGAATCTATAAAGCAATGCCATCATACATAAAATCAGCAGTTAGACACAATTTCCAGGAGAAACTCCCACCAGACATCTACTTTGTCCTGTGGGAACCAGTTAGAATGACAGACTTGTATTTTGGGAATAAATTCCAACAACAACAACAAAACAACCCCAAAATGTAAAATCTGTAAGCAGTTTGTGACAGGGCCATGATATAACCGCATTGATTGCAAACTGATAGAATTAAATGCAACACAAGTACTGAGATCTCACTGGAGAGCTGTGTATTTCAGCCCTGCACAGGATAACAAGCTCTCCTATTCTATTAAAAGCCAAGAAAACCTACAGCAAGTAGTGACCCTCCTGAACTCTTCAGATGATTGCCTGCAGCCTGTTCTTTCTCACTACAATAAGGGCATGGCATTCTGGCAACTACCCAACTGAGAAAGCACAGACTATCTTTGGCAGTCAAGGTACACCTCTGGAACTACAGGCCAGGCTAGATGCTCCAGAAGAAACACCAAATGTAGTGTGCACCGGTCTCAGGGAAGTCACCAAGGAGTTCTCCCTGCACGCTCCAAAGGGTTCCTCTATCTCTTCCATGGGATATTCACAGTTGGACACCTCCAGTTAGAAGTAATTAGTATTTCTCTAGAAGTAAGAAAAGCTTTTGCTTCTTCCCAGGTCTCCTATTCAGTATCAGCACTGAGCCAAGTTCTCTCTTGGAAGTACACGTCTAAGACCTGCTAATGGTGCAGGGGCCTACCCTAAAGGTCCTTCTGCAGAGACAATTAATCTTGAATTTGGCCTTTGATGCAATCTGGCCTCAGTAAAATGTCACACTTCATGTCATAACAACTCCCCTTACTGGTCAGCTTCAGCACTGAAATAACCACAGGAGTCCCTCAAAAATCATTATTTCTTCAGCATGAAGCTTGATTTTGGAAGAAATAGTTTGCTTTTCAGTAGATACTCCTACTTAGTGCACTCCCACCATGAGAGTCTGCATGGTCTAGCTGACTAAGGTAGGCAGCATCATTACTCTGTTGGCACAGCTCAGGATTATAATATTCCCATGACCTCGGCTGCCTCCTGAAGGCCTGCTCCCATAACATATTTAGCCCAAAATACCCAGTACTTATTTTTGCCAGGCTCTTGAGGTTAACAGCCCCCTTGAAACAGCTTTTCATCTTCAGCTTCAAACTGCATCCTAAATAAAGTCTAATTTACATGAAGGTAGTGGTGGGCCTACATCTCTAGTAGCAGATGAGGGTCAAGTGTGTCCTCTACTACTCTGATCCTCACCAACAGTGCAGGTAACATCTAGTGAGGGCCCATGCTTTTGAAACTAGAGGCCTTCAAATGGAGAACCTGTATTCACTGTGGCAAAAAGCTACACTGCCCTTCTGCCAAGGATTATCACTTCCACGAGTCTATCAGCAGAAAGGACAGTGGAAGGGGCCAGTAACCTCACTGACAGAGTCCATCGGAATAGTTCAAATCACAGGTCAAGCTAATTCAGCTGGCTTTGTCTGAGTCAGATCTGGAAAGGTTCACATACTCCTTTCCACCCTCTGAACAGCAAGTGGTGGTGAGCAGCTGGGGACAGCAGTAGCACCAACTGAATCTGAGAACAGGATGTCTATCCAGAGCCTTTGTTTCTATCCTAATCTGCAGCCCTGTCCTGCAGCTTTTCCCACAAGCAGGCTGATACAGGAGAGCTCTGAGGGTTAGAGAAGCTTCAAATCCCATACCGTACAGTGATTTATGGATAGACTATCTGAAGCCACAAGCATGCGTGTCAGACATATGGAAAACTACTTTTTCATCAGTCCTTTCCCTGGGCCCCGCTTCGCAGCCACAGCTTCAGGTTCAGCACTGGAATAGCTACTGCGACCTCTCTGGTCCTTCTGAAGCTAACAATTTTCCCAGAGAC